GGCGCCCGTCGCCCAGAGACAGGCTGGAAAATACATTCTCTTATATCTGGTACAATGAGCTAGTTTATTCAGCGTGATCCAACAGGTGAACACAGTTCTCTCTCCAGCTGAAACCAAACAGCTGTGACAGACAGCCCTGCTGCAGATGTTCCACAGATGTTGCACCTGTTGGCTACTCTGCATTCACTCGTCACCTGGAAAGTCTGGACCCTGTACTGCTGTCCATCACTGTTATGTCCTCATCCACAGCCTAGAGCTGTTTGTGGCTCCTTCTCCTGCGACAGGGTGAAACCCTGAGCAGCTCTGACGTCCTGTGTTCATGGCCCTTTTCCACATGTTCCAAGTAACAGTCTGATCCAGCTCTGCCTTTGTACAGACAGAATCTGTTGCTGTCAGTCACCAACAACAGTAAGGACCTATAGGAGCTGTTGCATCCGTTTTCAAGGCTTCCTTTACTTCACTTCTGCAGAGAAGGTGGACTTTCGCCTGATCCCTGAGAACAGCCTGCTTCATATCATGTTTAGATACAGTTTCAGGGTTTGGTGACTTTGTGCTGATGATACTGGAAGGTCTCAATGAGAGACACTGGGGTTGGTGCTGACTGTGTGACAAGCATTGGTTTTTAAGAAGTTACCATAAAAACACAGTGTCTCAGCCTTTGTAGGTGAATGTAACACATTAACTGAAACAGTATGTTTCCAGCTGTTTATTATTGTCAGTGGTCTGTTTTGAAAAGTTTACATGCATTGTTATTTCAACGTCTGAAGATGTGCAGGTCACTCCCTCCCCATCCCAGGACCTGTCCCTGAGCTCCCTGATGACTGACCTCCATGACCCACTGTAACTGATGTAATCATATCTTTACCTTCTGCTGCAGGCAGGACAAACATTGGGGCAGCCTCGCTAACACCTTCCTATTGTCACACATGTCTCCCCTCTGTCCTGCAGAAGTGGACCAGTCCGTGAGCTCTGTTCGTGGTCTGGGCCACACCATGTGTGAGCTGCTGCTGCTCCACGCCTCCTGCTGAGATAAGACGGATTTTAGGCTTTTAGCTCACAGATCTGATCTTCTCCTAAAGCTGTAGCAGGCTCACACTCAATACAACTGCTACACAACTGGGACTGAGGCGCTCCAGTCTGCTGGTTCTACTGGGATTTTTTAATTGGTTCAGCCAGTGGTTTATATGGGAGCACCATGACGACCATTTCACAACACTAAAAATCCATTAAAAATTAGGTACAAGTCTGACAGCGTTAAAACTTTTACCAACGTTCAATGTGGAGCTTTAATGTCTACAAAAATCAGCTTTGGAAACTGCTGTAAATAATAAATATTTTTTTAAAAGTACTGTGAAAAATGTCTATGATAAATTACTGAAATATAATTCAAAAACAAATAATAATCAGAACTATATAATAAATAACTATATTTGTACATACATAAACATACTCAAAAAGTTTGAAAAATGTGTTTAAATAATAATATAAATAATCCCATTTTTTAAATATATGTTGAAGCTATATATAAAATAATTAACTTTTGACTTTTAAATATTTAAAGAATTTAAATGCCTAATTATAAAATAAAAATAAACAACTTTAAATATATATTTTAGGTACTTTGTTTCATTTGATATATTTTATAAAATATCCACCCATTTTCTATACCGCTTAGTCCCAAATGGGGTCATGGAGTCAATCCCAGCCAGCTGCAGGAAAAAGGTGTGGGACACCCTGGACAGGTCGCCAGTCCATTGCAGGGCTAACACGCAGACAAACAACCACTCACACACACAATCACTCCTACAGGCAATTTAGAGACACCAATCAACCTATGCTGCATGTTTTTGGACTGGGGGAGGAAGCCGGAGCACCCAGAGAGAACCCATGCAAGCACAGGGAGAACATGCAAACTCCACACAGAAAGGCCCTGGGTCAGCCAGGGCTCAAACCCAGAACCTTCTCACTGGGAAACAACAGTGCATAGAAATGTCTTTTAAAAAAATCTGATAATATGGTGTTTGCACAAGAAATCAAAACCAAATAGAATCTTAACTAAATGAAATGAACGTCATTCGTGGCCTGCATCAGTGACGCCGCACGCTTCTCTCCTCCATTCTGCTGGGCTTCCTACGTTCCTCTATGCGGACTCCCTTGCTGAGGTGTGGGCCCTGCAGGCTGCAGCTGGCAAGACTGAACATAGCCCCCCCCCCCCCCCCCCCCCCACGCGCACACTGAGAAGCACACTCAGCTGGTTTTAGTTAGCCTGTTTGCAGTTAGCATTGGAACATCAAGCCAGCAGGAGCAAGTCTTAGCTTGGATGTTGTTTAAACCTCTTTAAATTCTCAGTGGTGAAAAAGTAAAAGTACCACAGTGTAAAAATACTGCAATACAAGTCCTGCATTTGGTTGACAAAACCATCCTGAAGGACAAGTCAGATGGGCTCTCTAATACTGCTATTAATACTACTACTATTATTATACCAGTGGTGGAAAAAGTATTCCGTTTACTTATCTAAAATATTCCATTGGAAGTAAAAGTCCTGCATTCAAAATTCATTATGCACATGGTACTTGAATATAATGGTCCTGCTGTCCCTGGTAGGCTAGTGGTCAAGGCACAGCGCTCTCACTGCTGCAGCCTGGGTTCGAATCAGGGTTGCGTCAGGAAGGGCATCCAGTGTAAAACACGTGCCAAGTGTCAACATGTGAGTTGTCAGTGTGATGATTCACTGTGGCGACCCCTAAAAACGGGAAAAGCCAAAAGTGACTTTCTTTCACTTGAATATAATGTTCCTCATATTTTATTAGCACACACATTTTTATGGAAAAATAATCTGAAGAAAAGTCTGAATGTTTATCATTGATTCTCTCTTTACAATGTGGCCCCTCTCATTAATCAGGGGACTCTCTGAGGGGTTGCAAGCCACAGGTTGGGAAGCACCGCTGTAGCTAAGCATTAAATACTTCACTGACTGTGGGTCATATTTTTTAAACTGATGATCTGATGTGGACCTGCAAAGGAATTCAGTAACATGGAGTAAAAGTACGTAGTAGCATAAAGTGTAAACACTATATTTACACGTGCACATTTACTGGCGTATTTGAAAGCAGTGTGTATTTACATGTAAATGTCAATGAGTCAGTTTGGCTCCTGCAGTCAACCTCCAATACTACCAGTGATCAAAGGAATACTCAGTTGTACTACAGTTAAAGTACCAGTACAACTCCTGCAAACTGCAGGACTTTGCAGTAACCACTGTAGTAACTCTGTGAAATGAATGAATGTAATAAAGTGGACAATATAGAAAAAAAGTGTGGAAATGTAAAACTGGGCTACAACTGATGAAACGACAAATGATGGAAAAAGTGTTCTGATCTACTAAAGTAGAAGTACTAATACAATAAGAGTACTACAAGTTCTGCTTCCATTCATTAGTAGACCTGCATAAGCATTAACAGTAAAATGTATTTAAAATATCAAAGTACTCACTCTGCATAGAATGAGTCCACAGTGTGAGGACATATGATTATTTACTACTATCTGTGATTACTACTGGCATGCTGCTGCACCTGCTTGTTGCTGTTGCTGTGTGTGTCACTAAAACTACATACTATCTATTTTGATTTTCAATGTGATGGCCAGGGATTGGCTCCAGCTCCAGCCTCCAGCCCCCCCCACATTCAGGAATAAGCGGTGTATATAATGGATGGATGTTATTGTCCTGTGAGAAGCGGCGGTGTGATGAGCTCCTGTGCTCACAACTAGAATGTGTGTGACTTCTGATATATTCACTGTATGGCTGTGTGAGCATGATTTTTTTTTTGTCAGTTAATAAAAATTTACTGCAAAAAGCACAAGTGGAGGAAAGTCTAGGAACCCAAGTGGAGAAGGTCGTTTCTGTTCTGAGTCCCAGCGCGGAAACCACAGATTTAATCTACAACACAGTTTCATATTTTGCATGGGGCATCGTAGACCTGAGATACTACAGCAGTCACGTGACCAAGTATTGTTACTGCTAGGAGTTAACAAAGAGGGTCACAGGTCGGGAAGCACCACTTTAATGTGCAACAATGCAACATTTTATACGCTCATGATTTGCACAAGTCAGCAAAGTTAACCTCACGGCAGCTGAAGGTAAGCGTAGTGCAGTAAACTTTCCACGTGAAACTCGGTGAAGTATACAGTAGAAATACTCAAGTATCAGCACCCTGAGTAAATGTACTTCATTACTTTGCACCACTGCGGGCTGGGTGCACCAACCTGAACCAGGATAAAGCTGCAGCCCACTGACCCCTGTGAGAAGAAAAAAAGAAACAAGCAGAGAAACAAAGTACAACTCACAAAATAAAAGTCCGGTTTATTGTCAAACAACAAACTTCGCACATACATCAAAACAGGCCGTCATAAAACAAAAAGTCGCTGACAAAAGAAACAGGAAAAAGAAAAGAGGCTCTTTTCTTTGGCCTTACCTTCCCATACAAACAAACTAGTTATGGTACAGCTAAAGTACATACATTAAATTTACTGGAATGCTCTGAGTTCAACGGCTTAAGAGGTCTTTTTTTCTTACATGTTTTTCTAGTATCTGTTGAGATATCGTAACATGGTCAACCAAGTAAAATCTTTTGTTAAAGAAGCACCGATTTGGTCTGACGAGATCGCTGCCGAGAGAGAAACTGACCCCTCCTAACAATATGTACAAAAATATAAAATGTAAATAAAAATACAAACAAATTCTCCTTTCGAGTTGTTGAAGAGAAGCCGGATTACTGCGTCGATGTGGTGCTGGGTTCCTCTAGAAAATTTGTTTTGCATCTTTGAGGGGAGATCGCGAGTGTGGCCATGGTGGGGGTTTGTTGAACTCTACTTGCTAATGACCATGTTGGATTTTTTATTTATTTTTCCTTTAAAATCAGTCCTCCAGCCCCTCCAC